GTGAAGTTCCGATAGGAACTTTAGGAAAGGCCCAAACAACAAGCAGCTGCTCCTCTGCTCTGCCTGCTCAGGGATGCAGGAGCCCCCACGGCTGTCAGTGGAGCCGAAGCAGGAAAGGCACCAGGCCTTCTATGGCCTCTTTGGGAGAAATCCCAGTGCTGGGTGGCTATCATACACTCAGGGTGTGACACAGACAGTGGACGTGTTGTCCAGGGCACAGATGCTGCTCTGACGCCTGGGGCCTGCAGAGGACTTAAATCAACAGGTGTGGCAGAGCTGATGAGGAGCGGGTGGGCATTCAACTCCCTTCCAGGGGAACGGGTGGTAGCTCAGGTGGCCAACTGCACCATCTTTATGTCCTGTCCTATGCTGGACTGCTCACTGTTTATCTTGCCAACATCCTCGTGGAGATGCTGGCACAAAGCCATGGCCTATGATCCCCCCACATCCTGCCCTGGGGAGCCTATCACACAGCCAGCGTCAGCACAGATGGATCCAGCACCTCCTGCCTGAGCCAGGCTCTGGGCTCTTAAATAGGTCCCAGAGCTGAGAGTTTGTGTAAAGGAGAAAAATCACTTCATCTAACATCCTGGGAGTAGTCTAGGGCTGATGCCTGGGATCTCTGAAGTCAGAGATCAAAACACTCTAGAAGATCCTGGGAAGAGTGTTAGAGGACTCCTGGGAGAAGCTGTTTATATCAAACAAGAATTGTCCTGAATATATCCTGTATCTACTTGATCTCTCCTCATGTGCTCAATCCAAAATTGCAGCTTGGAGCAGTTTTAACAGTAGGTAAAATCCATACAGGCACGTCCTCTCAAGACACATCACTGCATGACACTTGAGTAATTCAGTTTCAGCAAGAAGAAATTTAAATGCAGAGCAATATCACAGACAGGTGTAAAGATGTCCATAATTTGGAAAAGGCAAACGGGGCTGAGTTGAGACAGCCTGAGTTGAATCTTAAATAATTTTTTCTATATTGCTTATCCACATGAGTGTAAGCAGCCGGATGAGGGAGGCTATCATTCCCCTTCATTGAGCTGCTTCCTTGTAACATTTTTCTGTGGCTATATGCATTAGAGGAGGCAGACTCCCAGCATGGTTTGGTGGATATGGTGCTCATACGCTGCTCTGGGGACAGGCAATCCAAGCCACATGACATGAGGCTGCTGTGCCAGCTCCCCTCTGCCTGGGACACACACTCGAAGACAGAAAGGAGAACACAGTGAAGTTCCTCTTGCATCACCCTTAGCGATTTATTATCCCATCTGACTTCCAGCTCTGACAATGACCTGTGAATGCCCCACAGCACCATGGTCTGAGCTGGGGGAAGGCTGGAGCCCTGGGGCTCAGGCTGTGCCATGATGCCAACCATCTCACAGCTTTCTGCTGCACCTGCCCCTTTTCCAAGGGCTGGTGGTGACTTCACCTGCAGAAGCTAGGTGCCACCAGCTGGACAGAACAATAAGAAAGTGAAGCAAAGCACTCCTTTTCTCACACATCTGGGGGAGGAAAGGTGTCCTTCCCCTCCCAGCATGAGTTCCAGAGCAGAGCGAGTAATTCAAAGGCCATCACTGGCAACCACAGTACAGAGGTCAACTCAGCAGGGATTGTGCAGTGCCCCCCAACCCCCGAAGATGGGCACAGGGGAGACTCCAAATCCCACACTCTTGGTGTAGACAGACAGCCTGTGACTCTCGACCTTGCAACCCAGGATGAGAGTCTGTCCAAATGTGGAATACAACACAGCTCGGCAGCTTCATCTGATCTTCAAAATGGTCTGAAAAGGCACTTTACTCCCCATCTGGGGATGGAGAATATACCTGGAAAACACCTTAGAAAGGGAATGTTTAGAAGTTCAACAGCAAGCAGAGGCTCTGCAGCACCAGCACAGCACCCTTCCCTGGCAGAGGCAGCAGATCCACATGCTAAGGTCAGCATGGAGATATCCCATGCAGCACAAACCACCACAGCCCCATGCAGACACTGGTATCCAAGACAAGTCCAGGGCCATGGCATCCCCAGCATCCCAGGTTCAAGCAGACAGGGCTCCCTGCTCCTCCTGCCCTGCCCCAGCCGAGGGTCTGGCTCTGGCTGGCAGCTGCCCAGCCAGAGGGCTGGTGGGATGCAGCCGGCAGAACCGCCCCAGTGTCCAGATGGGGAAGATGTTGCGGTACGCGGTGTAACTGATGGCACACGACTTGTTGAACACCCCAGCAATGTTCTCCTGGGAGACAAGCAGAGAGCAGAATGGTATGAGTGACAAAGGGACTGCTGCATGTTCAGGAACATCTTGGAAAGACTAAAGATGTACCTGAGGCCAGTCTCCATTGGGCAGCTGCTTATCCATCAACACTTTAATGCCCCTTTCCAGCACACTGATGTCAGGGTACCTACAAAGCACAAGGGAAATGTAAACATCTTTATCCAAACCATCTGCAAACCCTCATCCATGTGTCTGGGGAGCTCAACCACCTCCAGGCTGCCCCAAGCTTGCCCCAGGCATGCTGAATGCTTTCGGAAGGGCTTCCCACAACCCCAAGACACTAGATATTATGAATATGACACCATTTTCCCAGGCAGGAAGCCTGCAGACATGATCAAAAAAAGCTTTGCTTTCACTGGGTCACACCAGCCCAGCCCAAGGCCATCCAACACCCAACTTGATCTCTTTTCCCTGAACACTGGGGCTACTCTTACCTGACAGCCATGAGCCCCAGCAGGGCCCAACAGGTGTTGTGGATCTGTGACTCAGCACTCTGCACATATGTGCGCTGCTCGCAGGACTCGAAATCCTCTCCCCACCCGCCATCTGCCATCTGCTTGGAGATGAGGAACTGGCAGGCCTGGGCCACCTCTTGGCAGACAGTCCTGCAGGGATGGGGGCCAGAATCAAGACAGGACTGGGGACACAAGGTGTTTGGATGCCCACAGTTCTCAGCTGCAAAGAGAAGCAGTGCCCATGGCTAGGACTGCCCTGAGAGTTTGAGGGTGAGGCAGCAAGTGCCCTGGCCATACTGCAGGCACAGGATTTGGGAGGAGCAGTCCCTGAGGCAGGAGAGTCCATGCACTGCCAGGGATCCATCCAGCCCCACCACAGAGTGCTACCCTGGCCCAGGAAGTAAGTAGGGGCAGGGCACCCAGACATCCCCTTCTCACCCGTTGTGGTACATGTGCTGCATGCTGGCAAACGCCTCCAGACCAAACCAGGTGCCATAGGTGAAACAAACCCCCCAGCTCCTAGGAAGAAGGAGAGAACAGCACTGTCAGAGGTGCAAGGCCCCAGGGAGAGGCAGGCTGCAACACAGCTGTGTTCACAGAAGAGCAGAGACAGGTACAGACCTGCAGCCTGCCTTCCCCTATGGCCCAACCATGCCCAGTCCCACCAGCACCTGCTCTCAGCTAACTCAAACGTCAATAGAACTGGGACCACAGGAGCTGGAGCCACCCCAAACTTCTCTGGGTCTTGTGCAAAGCACAAGATATCTGTTCTACCTGGGCTGGAAGGAGAGTAACTGAGAGCAAAGCACAACTAGAGGAGGATCAACCCCTACCTTCCCTCCCACAGATCCTGCCAGCCAGGAATGCTTGCCATGATGATCCCTCTCACACTGGGGCAGCCAGAAGAAAATGGGGTACTAGGAACACCACTTACCCTTCCCAGGACCCATCTGCTCGCTGCTTCTTACGACAAAAATCCAGGCCCTTCTGCAGAGTCTCCCTGGACAGGAAAGAAGTCATCCACTTCAGAAGCAGCTCAAACTCAGTGTTTGCTTCACTGGGGGCTCCATCAGCCCCTCTGAAGCTTTGATGGGTCCCATTATTAAAGGGCACAAGAGCATGCAGACAGGCAACTACATTGTTCAGGAGGCCATCGCAGGCAGCTTGGGACAGTGAGCCTGTCTTCTCCTCTGCCCAGCTCTCATCTCAGTGCCTCACCTGATCTCAAGGGCTCGGTGCTCAGGGAACTGGCTCTGGAAGTGTTTCAGTGCCTGCATGACAGCTGATGTGCATTCCACATACGTGTAGTCAATCATGATGTCACCTGCCAGCAGGCAATGGGTATCAGTGCCACAGCACCTGTGGGCAAGCCTCCAGGCCAGGTGCTGCCAGCCTGTCCCTCAGACCCAGGGCACACTAATCCCCTGTCAGGCACCCACTGGGCACGGTGAGCCCAGGCCGCTCTGTCCCTTCACAGTGGGCAGGACAACCAAGCCCCACAGCTCCCCTTACCAAACACCTCTGAGGGATTCAGCAGCTCCAGTAAGTGGCCTCCTCTCTTGGTTTCGTAAGTGGCAAAGCCTCCATCCGGGTTCCTCATGCTCAGCAACTGCCCAGACAAGCAGACAGCGGGGTGGGACAACCTCACAGGCAGTACTACTCCAGTCTGACCCCAGGCCAGCTGAGATGATAAAGTCAGACCTACAGGTCTATGGGGCTGGCAGAAAACCCAGGTCCCAAACTACCCTGACAAAGCAAGCCAAATCTGGGCCATCACATGACATTAGGTCACACAGGCAGCTCTAAACCACAACAGCGTGTTACCACACCAGGCCTCATACTAGCTCAGATCTAACCAGATCTAATACCCGATCTAACAATTCCTTGGGCTTTTGGCTTCTCTTACAGTACTGCATGTCCCTCGGCCTAATTTTTGCAGCTCTTACCACATTCACAGCATCAAAGAGGCGCTCAGCAGGCACAAGCTTGGCTATGAAGGGACACTTCTCCTGCAGCAGCATAACTGCCTTCAGCCCTTCTGCTGTGCAATCTGCCACAATCCAGCCACAGTCCCGTGTGCTGAAGGGGAAGCCACCCTGGAAAAGGATCGGGTGGGTTTAGGGAGCAGGATCACTTTCCCTCACCCACTCTGTTCTTGGAAGAGAGCAGGGGCTGCCCCTGATTCCTATTCCCTCTGCCCAAACCCCTGCCCCAGTCATTCATCCTTGAGAGACCATCATACCTTGTTCATATGGCGATAATATTTCTGGTAGTCAGGTGGGTTCTCTGGGATCTGCAGGAGACAAGGAACAAGTGAGGGCAGCCTGGAGGTGCCTGGCTGTAGGACCATGGGCTGAAACCATTGCAGGTGCAGAACCATGTGGAAGTGGACAGTACCTGCCTTCCACTGAGGAAAGTAGACAGGAAAGAGGTCAGCTCTGGAGCAGGGAGAAATCACCTTTTGGCCTGATTTCAGCAAGTGTTGCTAAAGCCCCCTAAGGGAGCTTGCCTGCCAGAGAGCCATCTGTGTTCAATGCTCCTCTTGGCAGCACCACAAACAAGACCCGTGACTGCATCCAGCTGCCGGTGACAATGACCCTCACCTCGAGCCACTGCTGGCCTGGCCGGCAGAAGCTGAGCTCAGTCAGTCACTATCCACTGATCCTGGGTTTCCCAGAAAGGTGCCTCAAATGTGTCAGCACCAGACAAGATGAAGGGCAAATAAGCCTAAGCTTTCAGCTTCCCAGCCTTTCTAAGCTCAGGCAGACAACCCAAGCATCCCTGGGCCTCACTAAGGTCCTCTCCAAGCTTCAAAGATGGTTCCCTGAAAACAGGGAGTAGAAAACAGGAGGCTGGGCCTGGAACTCTGCTAGTCAGCCCTTCAGAAGCTCTCTTCAGAAGGCAACAGATGCATCCAACAGGGTTCTGAGCAGCAGCCAAGCCTGCACAGCCAGAGTGTGAGACACCACTGACCAGCTCTGCTCACCTGGGAGAACTGGAGGAACCCATGGGCTTTCTGGAGGCAGGAGGTGAATTCAGGCATCTCCTGGGCTTCTGCCTAGAAACAGAGATGCACAGCGAGCAGTCAGCAAGGGGCTGTAGCCAGACATGTTTTCCCAGCTCAGCCACAGCATTCCAGGCCAGAACAGAGCTCTGAGGGGGTGCACAGCAGAAGCTCTGGTACCTGGGGACTCATGAGAAGAGACCATTTTCCCAAGGCAGCATGTAGCACTGAAGGGTGCCTTACCTCCAGGAAGGCTTGGATGGCAAAAGCAGTATCCCAGAGCTGGGATCCATTTGTGCCCTGGAAGAGAGAAAATAGACAGTGAGAGGCAGGTGCTAGCAGCAGCCTGACCCAGCTATGGGGACTGTGGGACAGCAGGTCCCTCCCACATTACTCCCAACAGCTCCTTCCTGCATCCTGCATCACTGCTGATGTGCTGGCACAGAGAGGACAGATGCAGCAAGAGACAGCAAGGGAACACAAAATAAGACATCTGCTTCAGTCTGCTCTGTGCACAGCCAAGACAGGAGAGGTGCCTTATTAAAGAACCTTAACCTTATTAAGAGGCTAGCATTAAGGAACAGCAGGACACAATGGCTCTGAGAGAAGCAGAGCTCAGCCCACACTTAGGATCAGGGGCCTGGCTTTCTCCCAGGATCATGAGGATGGAGGGAATGGAGGCCTCTCAGCTCCCAGCCACAGGGAGGGAAACTAGCAGGACAGACAGTACTCCCTCCTGGCACAGCTGGGGGAAGTAGCAGTGAGAAGGCCACCAGGCACCAGAGGTGAGATGCCAGCAGCTCAGGCCTAGGATTAGCACACTATCCCATTACTCCACAGGTTGGCCCAGCACACCAGGGTCCCTTCAGTCACAGCTGAACTCCTACAGCACTTCACCTGCATCTTCATGCCGTCGAGGCCCAGCCTGTAGGAGGAGAGAGCACAGCGCTGCAGCAAAGGCAGAGTGGGAGCACCAGGAGGCAAGCCAGGAGTCATGGTGTGCTGTGCCAGATGGGACACACTCAGCCCTTACCAGAGATAGTCAGGGATCCTGGAAACATGCTCCTGAAAAGCTGGGGAGTCCTTCCCTTCCACGAACCAGCGAACCAGCATGTTGATTGTCTTGGAGATCTGCCCAGAGGAGCATTGTCACTGCTCTAGATAGAGCTTCTTCCAACCCCAGAAACACACATCACCCCCCACTCAATACAAAGACATCCAGAAGTTGTCTTGGTCTTGATCCCAATGGCTCCATCTTGACATCACCCAGCATAGCTGAGTTAGCAGGGCAGGTACCATCAGATTACTCTCAGAGCTTCCCCTGATATCATCTCCATGGACCTCAAGGGGAGATACTCCTCACCAGGGCCACAGCTGTCCCCATGCCCTCTGTACCCTGTTAGCCTTAAGCTCTTGAGTATCAGGAACAGGAGTTGAGGAAGATCTGGTGATTATTACATGCCACACTTGCACAAGCTGGTCCTTGAAGAACAAAGGGTAAGATACTAAAGGATTAACAGCATGTGTCCTACCGGCCCAATGCTGATGCACTTGGTGAATCTGTCATCAGCCTTGATGTGCTCGTACAGCTCTGTGATGGCTCGCTGCCGCAGCTGAGTGCTGTGGTGAGCCTCATACACGTTCATGATGGCTACAGGAGAAGAAAGGGACATGCAGTGAAAAAAAACCCACCCTGGCGATTCACTTGCTGTGGCAGGCCACACCCCAACTCACACAACAACCATCAACCAACAAGCACCAGAATGGAGCAAAGCTCTGCCCCAGAGTGGCCTGAGGATGTGGGCACAAGGCCCTGCTGCTCTCAGGCAGGGAGAACCCCATGGATCACATAACTCCAGTCTCCATCCCAGCTGCAGGGCATACACCAGTAGCTGGTAGTAGACCCTAAAGAGCTCTGAGGGTACAAGGCAGCCTCAGTATCGCTCGCAGCAGGTCCCACACTCACCATAGGCAGCACCCAGCAGCCAGCTGTGTGGGGTGTACACGTCACAGGCAGCCACGTTGTTCCTCTGTGCTGGCCAGTCTATGTTGGTGTAGTCTTGCACATACAGCTCCTGGCACGAGAGAGCAAAGGGCAGCCTGGCCAGCCAGGAGCAAGCACCTGGGGCAGTTACTGCTGGGAGCTGGCTCAGACACCGTGCAAGTTGTGAGAGCTGACACCTGGCAAGCCAGAGGCTGGCTCACAAGAGCATGGCCAGCACAGCAGGTGCTCACAGAGCCGTGTATCCTTGTCCAGCAGGATCAGCTCCTTCCTTACCTGCCGCAAGCTCCGTATGAGCTCGTCCTCTTCTGCTGACAAACGCTTAGCATAGCAGTAGCTCATGGGAAGGTAAACCTGGCGGCAGTGACACCAGAGCCGTGACGGATGAGCTGGAAACCATGTGGGAAGCAGCCTGATTGCAACAGAGAAAGTACTGCTGTGAGGAACAAGGAAGGCCAAGGGGCACTGGTGAGATGTGTGGAATGCCCAGAGCAGGGCAGGCCTTTGCCTGTCCCCTGCACTAGGGCATATATACACAGCCTGGCCCTGCTCAGATTCCCTCTCCAACAGGGATACTCCCTCCTGACACCACTCCAGGCCCACGACACATGGCAGGGAGGACCTCAAGCTCAAAGAGGAAAGAGAAACTAGTTTGGTCACATGGGATGTTGAAGGCAGAGGCCTGGACTGACAGTTAATGGCATTTGCTGACAAAGCACCAGCAGCCCTTGGTACTGTGCAGCCCCTGATTTCCTCCAGGGATAGTGTCAGACACTTTCCCTCTCTGACACCCAGCAGCCCTCTGAGTATTCAGAGAGGGTACAAGCAAGGGTTTAGGGCTGGCAGCCTCACATGTGGCTGTCCCTTCCTGCTAGGGGCCAGTTCTGGCTGCTGGTAGACACTGGTGGCAGGCAGGGAGCACATGAATGTATTAGGGACTCTGTGGGAAATGCTAACAGGGCTGTGCTCTGACATCTCCCTTGGATGCAGTGTTCAGTGCTATCCACCTACTGGCTGGCCTCCTGCTGGCTCCCAGCTGACAAGCAGCCTGAGCACCTTCCATTCCTGGCTGTAGCTGGAGTTATCCCAGCAATCACCAGCACCTGGGACAGTTCTGGGTGGAGGCTGGTGGTGGCAGGACTGATGCAAGCTCCTCTCTCCACAGTGAGGGGGGCACATACCACATCTCTGGGAGAAGCGTGTTCATTCCCTCCCAGCTGTAAACGTTCAAGACAGCCAGCCAAAACTTGCCCCAGGAAGGGATTCCCACAGCACCTCCTGCACAGAACAGTATCAGCTTTCAGGGTTAACACAGCCATGCCAGCTCCCAACTTTCTTCCCCATCACAGGGCCTACTTCTCCCCGTGTTTGGGAGCACGCTACTCAGGCTGGAATACATGTCCCAAAACAGGGCAAACAGACAACGGCATAAAAATGCAACACAGCTTCCCATCATTAATTGAAAATGCAGTTGCCATGAAAGGCAAGTAAGAACAACAGTTCTTCCACTACCTGGCAGCCCCCAGTGTTGCCTGCAGCCCTCAGGTCTGGTCAGACCTCTCTCACCAGTGTACCAGCCCCATGGCTGACCTTTGCTGTGCAGGTTGACACGGGCCCGCACAACATCAGGGTCATCTGGTCCAAGCCCCAGGATCCTCAAGGCTACGTAGTTGAGGGCTGTGCCAAACACTGTTGATTTATCTTCCACGTGTCTGTCAGGAGCATACACAGAAACACCACATCCATTAGTCAGCTATTGCCATTAGCCAGACATAAGCTACTGCACAAGGCTGTCTTAGTTAGGGTGAAGTGGGATGCTAGGGGTGACTTTGGAAAAGAGGGACCTGACTAATACAGGAACAAACATTGCTCTGTGCTATCCTGTCACACATGATGCTTTGGGAAATAGTGCCCCAGAGAAGATGTAGCCAGACTTGATGCTATGGACGCCTCTGTGACAAACAGCGTACGTGGAGTGCTGCGCAAGCAAGTCCAACCACCCACAGCTATCACAGGTAGCGAGTCCCCCTCCCTGAGCCTGGGCAGACCTGACAGCAGCTCCAAGTTCTACACCTTGGAGCTACCATCACTCAAAGAAGCATCTTTGGTACTCACAAGCCCCAGCCTCCGTCCGGGAGCTGCACAGAGCGCAGGTAGCGTACCATCTCCTTCCGGAACCCCTCGGGCAGCTGGATTTTGGCCGTGTGGCAGGAGATGAGGAGACCTGGAGGACCAGAGAGGCCGGCACTGTAGAGAGCCGAACCCCAGGGCACCCACTCCTGGGAGGGGTGTCCAGGTCTACCTGGCAGCAGGAACAGCGGCCCGCCGTAGTCGCCCGCCCAGTGCCCATCCTCGGCCTGCAGCGCTGCGTAGAACCGCATCCCGTTGCGGGCCGCCTCCCGGGCCGAGCCGGCCGCCGGCAGCGGCTGCAGCGTCGCGCCCTGTGGGGAGACAGGGGCAGCTCAGCGCTGCGCCCCGGGCACGGCCCCGCCGCCCCGGCCCGGGCCCCCCGCACCGTGTCCAGCCCGAGGCTGTGCTGCTCCAGCGCCGTCTGCGCTCGCCGCTCCCCGGCATCGCCTTCGCCATCGCCCAGGTAGCGCCAGAGCTGCCGCCCGCCCTCGCAGCGCAGCCGCCAGTCCGGCAGCTCCGTGGCCGCCGCCGAGCGCCAAGGGCCGCCGCGCCGCCGAACCGCCCTGCCGGACACGGGCACCGTGAGCCGCGGCCGCCACCGCCGGGACCCACACACCGCCCCCGCTCTCCATCGCGCCGCCGGCACTCACACGCCGTCCGCCGCCATCGCCGCTCCGACCCCGCCGCCGGCTGGTCCCACATCGCCTCACGGGCGGCAGCCAATGGCGGCGCCCGGCCCGCCCCGTCTCCTCCCGCCCCGGCCCGCCCCGTCTCCTCCCGCCCGCCCCATCTCCTCCCGGCCGCCCCATCTCCTCCCGGCCCGCCCCATCTCCTCCCGGCCCGGCCCGTCTCCTCCCGGCCCGGCCCGCCCCGTCTCCTCCCGGCCCTCCTGCCACGGGACAGCCCCGGCAAGCTGCTGGGGCTGCGCCCCTCCGTCGCACATCTGCCCCTGGCACAGGAGTGCCATCCCTTCCACAGACGCCGACAGCCGAGCTGTCCCTTTGGGTGACAGCGCCAGCCCCTAGAGCGACTGTACCACCCTCCGTGCACCCCCAAAGTCCAGGCGTGCGGTTTCCGTCGTTAATGGAAGTAACAAAACAACTCCGGCCCAGCCTGGTGCCCAGCTCATGTGGGCCACGAGGGACTGGGGAGATGTGTCGGGGTGCAGTGCCAGCCCTGGCACAGCGCACCCTGACCCGCGTGTGCCCACGCTCCCGCTGCCCCGTGCTTCTCCGCTGCTGCCTCCACCCGTGATTCACCGAGCTCAGCTCTGCCTTCCCGGGGCGTCAGGAACGCCTTAAACAGCGGGGCCCTGCCCGGCTGAGCAGGGCCGTGGCCGGCGGGGCTGACACCCATAAAACACTGTGATTTGCTCTACAGGTGAGTCAGGTATCCTCACTATGAACCCTGCCCTGGTCCCTCCAGCACGGCTGGGGGTGTCACCTTCACGCAGGTAATATTGTGGGACAGCAGTCCATGAGGAGACAGCAGAGCTCCTCCTGTCTGGTCCCACTGACATGTCCCCATCTCTCTCCCAATACCCATCACTGCCTTCCCAGGCCAGTGCGCAAATGGGTTTCAGCCCTTCAAAGCCCCTGGCTCAAGAAGGCTTCCCAAAAGGAGGCACACAGGGATTGTAGATCCCAGAGATGCTGTACTTGCTGCTGCTATGCTGTTGCAAGGGCTGGGTGGGCATTTAATATATACTTGTTTAAATGGAGTGATAAAATTCCTTTCAGCCTTTCACAGTGACCTGGCTTCTCTCCTACCACAGAAGTGGCACCAGACCAAGCTAAACTGGAAGAAAAGCCGTTCCATGTCTGTGCACTGCCCAGAGACAAAAGAGCTACTCACAAATGTGGCACCCATCAACACCCCAGGACAGAAAAATGCCTGTCTATTAATACTTACATATCATTAATACTTACAGTATATAATGCACACTACGAGCTTAATTTAAAATACTCCTCTTCTAGCAAACAGGTCTTCACTCACATCCAAAATAACATCAGGGATTATCTGCAAAGGATACAGTGATTTTATTTGATAATTAAATAATTAATATTGTATTTATTTCATAAACTAGGCTTAGGTCACTCAGTTCAGCCCTGGCTGTGTTCAGTAAGAGCAAAATGTTTTTTGGATAGTGCTGGACTTCTCCTGGAGGGAGAATGAATGGGGATAATACATTTGACTTGTGTATCATCCCACTGGTCCTCAGCAGGGAAAGCTGTGCTGCTTCTCTAGCAGTTTATATGAACAGAGAGAACTAGAAGTTCACTGACATGGTTGTTCTATTTGAGGCTTAATAGTCTGTTTATTTTTGGTTAAAAAAAAAAAAAACCTGTCATAATGACTCTGCCCAAAACGAGTTTAATGAAAGTATCCACTTGTCCATGGATGCCAAAATCTTAAGATAATTTATGGTAATATTTGCCTAAGGGGAGTGATGGAGGATGAAAACTTAGTTTTACTTTTCTGTCTCTATACAACCCACCTGCACCAAAAATTTTTAATAATTGCCAAATTCCTGTTACTTAGACCTTGTTTTCATCCACGTTTTTCTGTGTCTGAACCTCATCTGGATTCTGCCAGGAGGTAGCTCACCTCTGGCTGCTGTGTTTGTAGGTGCCAGGGAACCTGCTCCCTGCAAAGCTGCTGTGTGTGCTGGCACTGTGAGTGCAGCCCTGCAGAGGCACAGGCAATTTCTTCACCCTCCCACCCAAATTCCTCTGCTTTCATTACTTTTTTTGTCCCAGTTCAATGACCACTGGCATTTGTCTCATGGTCTGGCAGAGCCTGGCGCCACACACACCCGAGAGACAAAGAAATAGGCTGTCTTTTCTCCTGGTATGAGGAGCCCACATTGTGAGGAGACAGGCAGAGGGCTGAAGTGTTTTGCTCAGCTTTGGGCACTGAAAAACCCTCTTGCTTCTTTAAACACATCAGCCCAAAACTCTGGCAAGGAAGCTCTGACCCTGAGGAAAGAAGCCCCAAGGTTGCACCTGCCTATTCGAAGATCAGAACATGAATTTTAGAATAACAGAAGCTACTCTTTGGGCAGCAGTGAAAGCACCACTCACAGCCCCATACTCATATCTAGACCTCCTGTACTGTCCCAGGCTGGGTTAGGGATGATCCAGGCCAGGAAAACAGCCTTTGCAAAGGATATTAGCCCAGATAAAAATCAGGAAAGTCTCTTGGAGCTGCTCATTAGCAGAGGTAGAAGAGGGTCAAGGTTTCTGGTGTTCACATCTGATCCTGCTGCTCCTTCCCACCCTATCAGGACATAATTCCAGATCATCACCTGTAAAATATAGAAGTCGGAATGATTTGGGGAGAAATGGCAGCAAGAATCACCAGGAAAGAGAATTTTAAGATTGTTCAAGTTTTGATCTGTCAAATGCTACTTTTTCTGTTCCATTTTAAGGAAAGGTCACTTTCCAGAATGACATCAGAATATGGTTTAAGGAGATGATCTAGGACCTTGTCTCTGACTAGAAAAGGTTTGCTTTAATGCATTTCTTGGCTGAGGACTGAGCTAGAGATCTACCGGATCAAATTTCTATCAACAGAAAAATGCTGTCTCTTTCCTGCTGACAGAGAGCCCCATTTATAGCCAGCTCTTACAGGAATGCAAGTACTCCTGGAAAAAATCAAATAGTGCAAAAATTGCTGACAAAATACCTCCACACTAGAAACACCACTACCTAAAAGCATCCCTGCTGTCCCTGCTAGCCCCACCAGAGCACAGATAACTGTTGTCGTTTGCAATGCCCTAAATGCAAGAATTTCAATGGTCAGATAAATATTCAGTCAACAAATTCAACCTTAATGCTGGAGAAATTATTTTTCCCCAAATCAATTTGAGCCTGTTACAAAAACTTTTATGAACTGATGGAAGGAAATTATCAATGTAGATGTTTTTGGGTGATTTTTTTGGGGGTTTGTTGTTGTTGTTTTGTGGTTTTTTTTGGTTGTGTTTTTTTTTTTTTTTTTTTTTTTTTTTCTCCTGCAAGTGTTCCCTTTGCTGTTACAGCTCCTGCAGTTGAGTGCTGTCACTCGGGTTGCAATCAGCCTCCGCTCACTTTCTGTCCGTGCCGCAGCCTCCGGCATGGCCAGACCCTGCTCGCAGCCCTGGAGGGACTCTCTCAGCTGTGAAGTCTATAAGCCTGACCAGGTGCAGACCCAGGGACTGAGACCTCGGTCTCATCAGCTCTACTCATCCCTGGAGCGTTGCAGAAACCCCAACTAACATGTGCCAAGGAGGTTTTGTACTGGTTTTGGCAGGGTGTGTTTGACTGGGGTTAGCGGTGTCCTGAGCAGAAAACTAATGGAACCAAATCTCATTCGGCCTCATCCTGGCTAGGATTGAAATACAGCAACCAGGGCAGATCATCCTGTCTCATTGTTTTTATGTGTCCCTGAGTCTAAAGTCATTTTTAAAATGTGAGTGATGCAATTTCTTGCATCTTTCATTTAATATGCTGCTTGGTAAACAGTGTTTTAGATTAGTATATTTGTAATTTAAATGAAGACAATACATCAAGTCAAGTCAGAAAAGAAGGAAGAAGTTTAAGGAATGATTGATGCCTCTTTCAGTGTTGTGCCCTCGTGAAAAAGAAAAAAGAAAGTGTAAGGAGAGGGGAGAGGTGAGATTATTGAGGATCTATTGGGGTAAAGGAAAAAGACAGAAACTGTTGTTCATGGGCAGAAATACACTATTTTTAAAAGCACAGTCAGCTCTGATAGCTGAATCTGTTTTCTTCAAGCGCACTAATAAATTCTGCCTAATTCATTTTTTATTCTCTCTTGGGGTCTGCTTGCAGATTTGCCTCAACAAAGGAAGCATCATGTTACTTCTTTTAAATAATTGATGGCTCTTGGTCCAAGCCAGCTTGAAGGAAATTCAAAAATAGGTACTGATTGAGTAAATACCCTGCCTCCCCTCTGCTCCCCCAGCCCCCATCCCTTATTTATTTTTGCAGCCTGGGTGACTGGCAGTTGCCTATGATGTCATTTGGGTACACCCAGCACTTAGCAGCTCTGATTTCATTTATGTATTTATTTATATTTAAGAAAAAGAGAAGCTGTTAATTGTAAACTGTCTGATGGAGCTAAGAGCTCTTAATAAATCATCAGCAACCTTGTGCCATGACAACCAGGGATGGACCTTAACAGGTTGAGGTTGGAATCCGTACCAAGAGAGGCACTGGGGAGACTTGCATG